GGGTAGAGGTGAGGGTAGAGGTGAGGGTAGAGGTGAGGGTAGAGGTGAGGGTAGAGGTGAGGGTAGAGGTGAGGGTAGAGGTGAGGGTAGAGGTGAGGGTAGAGGTGAGGGTAGAGGTGAGGGTAGAGGTGAGGGTAGAGGTGGGGGTAGGGGTGAGGGTAGAGGTGAGGGTAGAGGTGAGGGTGGAGGTGAGGGTAGGGGTGAGGGTAGAGGTGAGGGTAGAGGTGAGGGTAGAGGGAGGGTAGAGGTGAGGGTAGAGGGAGGGTAGGGATGAGGTTTGAACCTAAAGGGAAGGTATAACCTCGACCTGTTTTCATGTTTTTTGCCTTTTTTATTGACTATTATTTATATGACAAACAATAATTTGCGTAACTCTTCAATTTAAGGTAATATATCAAAATGAGCGCTACTTTAATCAGAAGCACCAGCAAAGGTACAATGCGGCCTCTCAATTATTTGTTATATTTTGAGTAATAACAGTTATAATAATATACTGTTTTTATAATAATACTGTTTACAATAATATTCATAATAATTTAATCTCCTCCATGTCACACTTTCCCTTTTCATCGTATCTCTTATTACTAAGAAAAATTAATGAGTTTATTGCCCAAATGGTGATTACCTTTCTAGAGTATCACTGATACGTCAATAATTTTCCTAAGTCAAACTGAATCAGGATGACCCACAATTCTGGAGAAAAATGCATCGCTAGTTGGACACGATCTCACTTGTTTTAATGAGTGACACTATTAAACCCAAACGTGCCCCTCACACGTGCCCTCACACGTGCCCCTCACACGTGCCCCTCACACGTGCCCCTCACACGTGCCCCTCACACGTGCCCTCACACGTGCCCCTCACACGTGCCCCTCACACGTGCCCTCACACGTGCCCCTCACACGTGCCCCTCACACGTACCCCTCACACGTGCCTCACAGGTCTACCTCCTGGAGCGGGACAAGGCTAGCCTCGAGCTGAGGCTAGGCACGTGTGAGGCTAGTGAGGCTGCGCTGCTAGCCTCCCTGGACCTCCTCAAGACGCAGGCTAGCCGCTACACCTGCCCGGTGAGGCTAGTGAGGCTACTGAGGGACTAGTGAGGCTAGCGAGGCATTAGTGAGGCTAGTGAGGCTAGTGAGGGACTAGTGATGAATTACTGAAACTAGTGAAGGATTAGTGAGGCTAGTGAGGCTAGTGAGGCTAGCTAGAGATTAGTGAGGCCAAGTGAGAGATAAGTGAGGCTAGTGAGAGCTTAGGGAGGCTAGGGAGATATTAGTGAGGCTAGTGAGAGATTAGGGAGGCTAGTGAGAGATAAGTGAGGCTAGTGAGAGATTAGTGAGGCTAGTGAGAATATTAGTGAGGCTAGTGAGAGATTAGGGAGGCTAGTGAGAGATAAGTGAGGCTAGTGAGAGCTTAGGGAGGCTAGGGAGAGATTAGTGAGGCTAGTGAGAGATTAGGGAGGCTAGTGAGAGATTAGTGAGGCCAAGTGAGATGAATATTAGTGAGGCTAGTGAGAATATTAGTGAGGCTAGTGAGAAATTAGTGAGGCTAGTGAGAGATTAGTGAGGCTAGTGAGAATATTAGTGAGAGATTAGTGAGGCTAGTGAGAGATTAGTGAGGCTAGTGAGAATATTAGTGAGGCTAGTGAGAGATTAGTGAGGCTAGTGAGAAGTTCTTGTAGTACTTAACTAAGTAAACTCTAATCACTGAATGCAGAGTCATGATTATTTTGTTAGATTAAGTAGAGAGCCTAATTATAGTGGTGATTTACATTGAAATTTTTATATAATTCAAGTATCAATTGATATAAATCATTAACATTTTCGTGTTCTTTGATAATAATTTTGCAGAAATTCTATTGTGATAATCAGTAAAGTTGGTAAGGCCTGAATAAAAAACATGAACTTAAGAGATAAATAGACAAAATTGGGTTTGATTAATACATCAATCAAGTCAATATTATTGGTGGTAGACACTTCATTGATTTGTAAACCTAATATATTTATTAATAATCTAGCGATTAATGCGAGTTGTTGTTTCATATTTTATTTAATTGATTTATTTTCATTAATTTGTTTAGGAAGTGCACATATTTTTGTATAGTCGTTCACGTATTATTGTTTCGCTACGTATATTGTATTGTACACGCGTATTATTGTTTCAATAACACAGGTATTGTAATAGTACACGCAGTATAGTTCAGATAACACGTACAGTTATTCAATTATGTTGAATAAAAACTTTTGTTTCAGGACTGTCGGTCACTGGGCTACGGGATTATGGATTGCAGTGGCTGCAGTAGTCAGCCAAGAGAGCAATCCAGCGCCGGTCAGCCAAGAGATCAATCCAGTGGCAGCGGCGGTCAGCCAAGAGATCAATCCAGTGGCAGCGTCGGTCAGCCAAGAGATCAATCCAGTGGCAGCGTCGGTCAGCTAAGAGATCAATCCAGTGGCAGCGTCGGTCAGCGAAGAGATCAATCCAGTGGCAGCGTCGGTCAGCCAAGAGATCAATCCAGTGGCTTTGTCAGTCAGCCAAGAGATCAGTCAAGTGGCAGCGCCGGTCAGCCAAGAGATCAATCCAGTGGCTTTGTCAGTCAGCCAAGAGATCAGTCAAGTGGAAGAGTCGGTCAGCCAAGAGACCAATCCAGTGGCAGCGTCGGTCAGCCAAGAACTCAATCCAGTGGCTTTGTCAGTTCATTAAAAATTTTGAATAATTCAAGAAACTGTCACCTGACGGCGACAAATAGTGATGATTTTGATGCCGTTGTTGACAAAATCAACATCAGTGGTAGTTTAGACAACACAATTTCTAATTTAAAAAGTGAAAATTCGTTGAATAAGACACATGAAGAATTTGATTGTGCATCTCAGACATCACTATGTACGAGTTTAAGTGGAAAAAAATTCAATGCAAAAGAAATAAATTCAGCAAATGGAGAAAATTCGGAGAAAATTACAGGAAAAATACAAGAAAATGACGATAATTCAGGAAATTTTGATGAAAATATAGAGCCAAACACAGGAAAAATTACCCAAAACTCAGATATTTGCTTGCGATTTGAAGCGGAAGCTATGGAGCTTATTCCTGGAAACCTAAATTATACTCAAAAAAATAAAGAGGTTTGCAGCACCTGCAGACAGATGGTGCCTTCTGTCTACGAATGCCAGCTGCGTGACAGGATTCAAGTGCTGGTAGCAACGCTGGAAAAGTTGACAGTGAATTCAGAAGCCCGACACAGACAGAGCCAACTGTTCATTGACGACCTGAAGCGAGCGAACAGGTGGGGGGTCTGGTGGTGGGGTGGTGGTGTGGGGTGAGAGGTTCAGTGGTAGATGACTTGGCTCAGTGGTAGATGATAGGCTTAGTGGTAGATGACTTGGCCTTATTGGTAGATGACTTGGCTCAGTGGTAGATGATGGGCTTAGTGGTAGAAGAATTGCTTAGTAGTACATGACTTGGCTTAGTGGTAGATGATCTGCTTAGTAGTAGATGACTTGGCTCAGTGGCAGATGATTTGGTTCGATGTTAGATTGCTATATTGAAGGGTATGATCGTAAGGTTAAATGGTAGATGATTTGGTTCGCACGCCCAATCAATCGTGGATATGTCCAATCAGTCATGGGTATGTCCAATCAGTCATGGGTATGTCCAATCAGTCATGGGTATGTCCAATCAGTCATGGGTATCCCCAATCAATCGTGGATATGTCCAATCAGTCATGGGTATGTCCAATCAGTCATGGGTATGTCCAATCAGTCATGGGTATGTCCAATCAGTCATGGGTATCCCCAATCAATCGTGGATATGTCCAATCAGTCATGGGTATGTCCAATCAGTCATGGGTATGTCCAATCAGTCATGGGTATGTCCAATCAGTCATGGGTAT